TTGGCTGAATATAAAATTTGGGGCAGTTTTATAGTCCCTAAAAAGCAGATAGGGTTAGATATGATGTCTTCATAAAACAAAAACTACAAAAAGGCAATCAAAGTTGAAGCTGCTAAAAAGATTGGAGAAATTGCTCGATATCCCTCAAAACATGGTATTCAATTTCAAAACCTGTAATAAATTGTTAGTGAAAATTAATCCAAACAAATATTGAATACTGGTTGAGAAGTAGGGGGAAGAATCCTCTTCCACCGCTAGTAGGAGTGTAAACTAGTATAGTCATCTGGAGGGTAGTATGGCAATAGCGTGGAAAGTTAGTGTGCACATACCTAACAACTTGGGGATTCTACCCTACATATAGATCCTAGAGAAACTCTTACCACAGTCTGTTAGTTATCTATTGCTATGTAACAAATTACTCAAAACTGAGTGGCTTAAAACAACGATAAACATTTATTATTCCACAGTTTCTATGGGTCAAGAATTCAGGAGTGTCTCAGGGTCTCTTGTAAAGTTGCAGTCCAGATGTTGGCTGGGGCTCCTTGTCATCTGTTTAACTTCAGCTGAAGGATCCACTTCTAAGATGCTGCTGTCACATGACGTGCACGTTGGTGCTAGCTGTTGGCTGTTCCATGGGGCTGCTACAGTGTCCTCAACAACACTGTAGTTGGCTTTACCAGGAGCGAGTGATCCAAGAGAACAAGGTGGAAATAGCAATGTATTTATGACCTAGTCTGGGAATTCACACATCACTGCCATATTATGTTGGTCACACAGGCAAAACCCGATACAATGTGGGAAGGGATTACACAGGGGCATGAATCATGTGGGACCATCTAGGAAACAGGCTTGCACACGCAGGTCCATAGAAGACATGTATGACAACATTCACCGCAGTATTATTTGCAGTGACAAGGAGTTGCAGGCAACTTAGGTTTTCATTCTGAGAGAAGTTTGAAAGTAAAATGTGGTATACGCCTGTGATGGAATACCTTGTAGCAATCAAAAGTAATGAACCAGATTTATGTATTCCTTTTTCAACTCAAAAGAAACAAAATTAGAAAAATGACATGTATAGCATAATGCAACTGACACGAGTTTGAAAAACACTGTATATATTTATATATATATATATATATTTTTTTCCCCACACTATATATTTTTAAAGATGCATGTGTTGCTAAATACATATATAAAAGGTTGACTGGAAAGACATATGTGGTTGTATGTGGGAGGAAAGGGAATTGAAGAGGAGCTGAAGGAAGAAGTAAGAAAATGAAAGAAACGAGGGGCTTTTCAAGAACAATGTGATGAGTGTGTCATGAATTGAGGAGAGGAATTATCTTAATTCTGTGTAGTTGAGGTTTAAAAAAAAAATTTTTTTTTTTTTAGGCAGAGTTGTAATGTGGTCCAAGCAGGCCTCCTAAGAGATCTAACTGAGGCAAAATTCCTAGTAGATAAGGTTCTACTAGTTTCTCTGTGTTGTATTTTTTTATGAGTCATATTCCTGTGGAAGGAAAATTTCAATTGTCTTTAAATACCTCTCTTGGGCTTCCCTGGTGGTGCAGTGGTTGAGAGTCCGCCTGCCGATGCAGGGAAGGCGGGTTCGTGCCCCGGTCCGCGAAGATCCCACATGGCGCGTAGCGGCTGGGCCCGTGAGCCATGGCCGCTGAGCCTGCGCGTCCGGAGCCTGTGCTCCGCAGAGGGAGAGGCCACGACAGTGAGAGGCCCGCGGACCGCAAAAAAAACCCCCAAAAAACGAACAACCTCTCTTATCTCCTTGTTGGAATGAAATTCTTTGAACAGAACACAAACTTCTTTTGTTTCTCAAATGCAAATAATCTTGAGAGAGGTACCCCACAAATACAATTTATAAAAAGGAGTAAATCATTGATATCAGATTTCCTTGTTAAGGATGTGTTTCATAGGAGGCTAAATGAACAGGATTTTAAATTTTTTGAAAGGGTATGGGGGTAGAGGGGACAGAAAAGAGGAGCACAGAGGGGGTGCATTAAGGTACCAAAGACAGATCAGCTCCCTCATGATTTTGATTAAAACTAGTGCTTTTAACAAATTTCATTTTGGGGTTGAAATAAGAAAAAGAGATTACCTTGCATTTATGGTAATTTAGTTCTTTTGAGTTCAAGGTATACCCCCAGATAAATTTTCATTTGTTTAATTTTAACCACGGTTAACAGCTAAATAAATATATTAATTTACTCTCTAGATGTTGTTTCAAACTGATGACTATTTTTGGGGTTCGGTAGTAGTGGACTGATTGGTTTATCCTTAGGATAAATCAAAATCTATACTTGAGGTCAGGCCAATTTTTTACAATTCACAGAGCAACCAGGACTAAAACGGAGAAGGTTCAGGTTAAAGCCTAATTTTTCTTAGAAAAAGTATGTTGTGCATACTTGTAATTGTATGATAGCAGAGGGTTAGGAAAATGTTTTTATATTTGAGGAGAATAATAATACTGGTTTTATTGAAGATAGGCCCAACCTATGGCACCGTGAGTGCAAGAGTCATTCACATAACAAATGATCCACATGTGTACTGTAACAATTGTTCTGGAGACTAATTGTGACCCTTTGGGGATCATGGCCAGTACTTCTTGAACAGCTAGCTACTCCTGCTGAGTAGCAACAATGAAGGCAGCAGTCCAAAGGAGCCAATAGTCACCTTTCTTTTTTTCAGGGATATTTAATTTATTTTTAAAAGAAAATTAATCACTCTTGAAAAACTGTTCTTCGTGTGTGTTTTAGTATTTTATTTCTCATTCGCCCCTCGGACATCAGACATGTTAATATCAAGCTCTTATATGCCATCTAATATAAAGTAATGTAACCACATATGCTCCCTAAGGCAAAACACCCCCATGAAGACAACTCTCCATGGAGCATCTGGCAGCCAGTTCTATAAACACAAAAACCACACACTCGATTCACAGTACCACCTTGTTCTCTGTTCCACATGGTATTTTTGATTGAGCACCAGCTCCTTAAGGCATCACTGTAATATTTGGTTAACAGAAACTGACATATGTACATAATAACAGCTGATTTTCATATAAGCCTTCACAAACACTCTAGGAATTTTGGAAAATACTCTGAGGTTATGAAGCATTCTGAAGTTTAATATTTCTTCAAAACTTTTCTATTCTCCCTTCACTACTTATTAAAAGCCCTTTACTAAGGACATTAGCTAAGGATCACGTCTGCACTAGACTGTAAGCTACATGAAGGTAGGGCCTGTGCCTGTCTTGTTCATTCAATGATTCCTCAGACCTCAGCAAGGCATCAAATCATAGTTCATGAGTGCTTGAACTTGTATCTCATGACTTATTAGACAAATTTATATAATAAATTTTTCTTAATGACAACTGGGTTGTATGTCTACAATAGAGACATTTCACCTATTACATATTACAACAAGACCTTAAAAAATATTCTAATATTTTCATATTAGAAATGTAAAATAAACAATAAAAAGTGGTCCAGAGAGGTTCAGAGACTCATGAAAGTCACATCACTTGACTTAAGACCACCTTCCTCCACCCAGCCCAATGCTCTTTGAACCACACTCTGCTGCTCCTCCTTTATGATTCTGTAAAAAGCAAATTTAAATTAACTAGCTTTTTTTGAAAAAAAAAAAAAAAAAAATTTCCAGGTTCATTAAGAAAAACTAAAAAGCTAGTTTGTAAAAGTCTTTTATTGTATCCGTGCCACACATAGTAGTGAAAAATAACACTCCTAAAAAAAAGAATGCTACCTTTTCCACAACATTTTATTTTAAATAAAACTTCAAGTACTCTTACATAGGTACAAAAAAATTCTGATCTACTTGCCTCCAACAGGCCACCACAACACACAGTAGATAAAACACAGTGGTTACAAATGTCTTTTAAATTTATTTCTGAGGCAAGGCAAATGGGAGGGAAATGTTTCTATGAAAAAATACTGTGTGCGTAGGAAATTGTCACAATTTTATTCCACGTGGATACAAATGATTATACTTTAATTTAGGCCCTGGTGGCTTAAAATTATATAACAAAATAGAAAAAATGGAAAACTAATATCCCCTACACCCTGTTTCAAAGGCAGGCACTACCAAGATCAAGGAGATGCCACAGTGCTGTTAGAGGATAATTACTGTACAAGCTGTATAGCTATAATTACCTTCAGACTAAAATAAAATGCGACAATCCTTCTAAGGCATAAACAATAATGTCTGCAAACAATATATACACATAATACATATTTAAAACAAGACTTAATATAAACAATAATGAACAGTATATACATGTCAATTTTTCTTCACTGTCTTGAAATACAATTTAACTACACAAGTGATGCAGCAACATATATATATACATATATATGTATATATATGTATATATATATATATATAAATGTACTTGTAACTCTACAGTAAAGTTTATTTTTGGTGCTTTTATAGCACATCAGTGTAAACAGTTTAACTTGGCTTTGTTTTTTATATTTTAAAACATTCCTTGTTGTATTTTCAAGATTTAAAGCAAGTTTTCTAGTTCTTCCTTTTCACAGAAAACGAAGATTCTGGATGTGGTTTAATCATAAATAATTCATAAAATTAAATACATTCACTAAAAAATAAACTACAAAGTAAAAAAATGAAAAATAGATATTTATTGAGAGGGAAAGGAGAACCATTTCCCACGTTAGAGCTCTGGTGTTGAATATTCAGTGCGATTTGATATATCTTCATTGCTATTGCACTATAACACCCTTTCCTTTGAAAATTCTTTGGGTGTGCTTCCCTGTTCTACCTAAATTAGCTGATAAATCACACAAACCAATAACCAAGGGCCTTGGTTGTTGTAGGAGTGAAGCCTTTAAAAACGGTATCATTCTTCTGATGCTTCTTTTTTGTGTGATATTTATTTTAAGGAAAAAAAAGTCATTATGTATGTGCCTTGCACATGTATGTAAATACAGTTCACATTGCTGGTTCGTTTGTCCTTGTTTAAAAGGAAAAAAACAAGAGAGATTATTATAACTTCAGCTCACTTTGAAAGTATCTGTCCACTTTTTTTCAAAATACTTCCTCATACTGTGGCCAGCTCTGCCTATATCAGAATCATCTTCATTAAATGTTTCACAGTTGTCAAAAACAAGCCTGACATCTAGAGCAAAAGTTTCAAGGTTTGGATACCTGGAAGAAAACACATGATTACAGGTTGCTTTTGTAGGCTGGTTTTGTTTTGCAAACAAATGAAGAGGTGATAAAAGATAAAATAAAACATAAAATTGAAAGGAAAAAGAAAAAGATTAGGGTAACTGCATTTAAACTGATATAAAACATATTATACCCTCATATAAATAGGACGTTTAAAAGACTGCACGTGTTCTGGACATATAGAATTTAAAGACAGGTTAAATGGAAAACAGATTTCTCTTGAAGATCAAGATATATTTCAACAAACTAGCATTTTTCTTACATCCAATTTCCTGTTCGACCTGTATCACAATTTTGTTACAGGACTCATCCCACTTGATTAGTTTATTAACTCTGACCAACTGTATCACTTGCAGTACCCTATTTTTCATACTCAAAAATATTTAGCTACAGTAGAAATAATATAAATGCTTCCCATGCACTATGTACATGACACTTGCCCTGTAGCTTTTACATACATCCCAGGATAGGTCACTCTGTGTTAAACCTTGCCCCTTTCCCATTTCTCTTCTTCTCTCTTCAGATATGCTCTTTTGCTCAAATACTGTCATAGGATGATCCAAAACAAGCAAAAAAAAGCATGTGCTATCTCTTCACTGGAGATAACATTATCAGGAAACTGCCTTTCAATGAGAAGCCCTGTGAACTCTGCTTTTTTTGGTGGGATAATCCCAGTCCTCTTTCCCTGTAAGAACACAGAGAAGAGAACTGAAAGGTGCACGACTAGACTTATTAGTAAGGAAGGAGTGGTGCATTTCAAGCCAAATCAATACATTTTGAAAAAGGGCTTTTGGAAAGTCAAATTTAAATTAACTCTAACTTATGACAAATTGAATACTAAAATAATTTACCCATTAGAAATACCTATGAAGCACACACTGAAGCTCTGGGATCTGGTAAAAGTGGAATTATTTCTTTGATGAAATACCTTGTACAGTCTTTTCACTCCTTTCTTCTAATATGTGCAATAATAAAAGAAGAAAATTTCTTTATCTGTAATGAGCTCACAGAATTGTCAGCCCTATGTAACCTCACCCATTTTCCTTTTCTTCTGGGAATTATTATTCTTTAAATTAAGGTGAAATGCACATAACATCATATTAATCATTTAAGGTAGATACTTAAGGCATTTAGCACACTCACAACATTGCATTACCTAGTTCCAAAATACTGTCATTACCCCAAAAGGAAACTATCCATTAAGCATTTACTCTCTATTCCTTCCTATCCCCAGCCCGTGGCAACCATCAACTTGTCTTTTGGTCTCTATACATTTACCTATTCTGGACATTTCACATAAATGCAATCATATAACATGTGTGGGAATAATTTTAAAAAAATATTTTAAAGTTGCCTTGAGAAATATTTATCTCTTTAGACTGCTCCTTACTACAAGAAAAGGTTAATGATTAGCACTAGGGAGACAAATCCGGGAGAGAATTTTAGGCGAGATTCTAGATGAAATAAGTACAACAGAAGGAGGGGGAAGCTGATGGAACCCAGAAAGATTCATTAAAGGAGGCACTTCCTCCCCTCTGTTCTCTAATTTTCTAGTTTAAAATCTGAAATACTGTTTGTGGGTTTGGGTCCCAGCTCATTAATTTGGGTTTAATGAAATAAGTCGAAGTGAGAGGAGTCTGAATTCTCTGAATTCTGTCTCCCACACCTGGCATCACAAACAGGATTATACAGAACTGCTTCTCTCTGCTTGCTTCTGCTGTGACCTCCTCCATTTACCGGCGCTCATTCTCAAAAGGGAGCTTAGATTTTGCAGATCTTTTGGTACTTCTGTGTTAATGTGTAAGCATGTTTACTTTGAGGTTTAGGTTCATCCTCTATCCAGGAACTGGAGAATTATGGAAGTTAAAAATGTTCATTGCAGCTCTATTTACAATAGCCAGGACATGGAAGCAACCTAAGTGTCCATCAACAGATGAATGGAAAAAGAAGATGTGGCACATATATTACTCAGCCATAAAAAGAAACGAAATTGAGTTATTTGTAGTGAGGTGGATGGACCTAGAGTCTGTCATACAGAGTGAAGTAAGTCAGAAAGAGAAAGACAAATACCGTATGCTAACACACATATATGGAATCTAAGAAAAAAAATATGTCATGAAGAACCTAGG